AGACCCCTAAACCCCAAAACCCCCAAACCCCCTAAACCCTAAGCTTGAGCCAGGCAGCTGCAATGCCAGAGGTTGGATTTCAACAAGGGTTTAGGGTTTTACGGTTTAGGGTTTAGGGTTTTAGGGTTTTGGGGTTTTAGGGTTTAGGGTTTAGGGCTTTAGGGTTCAGGGTTTAGGGTTTGGGGTTTAGAAAACACGATCCCATCCTATACCCTCAAAACCCATGGTGCCTGAAATTCGAGCCCTAAGCCCGTCCCCCTACTACGGTGCCCTTAAGGTGCCCTAAGCCAGAGACCCAGAGCTGGTAGCCTATATGAACCCCACAAGCCCTAAACATGGAAGCCTCTCTAACGCTTACATGCACCCGCAACCCGAGCCCTCATTCTGACGCAGGTCTAACGGGGGATGGGATTGCTGGCTGCAAAAATTCGAGGTGTGGCTAAGCCCTAAACCCCAAACACAACAACCCTAGCACCTAATCAAACCCGATGGGGCTTGTACCTCATTAGACAACGTCTAATTAGGTTGGGGGTTTTAGAGCGGGCTGTCTTTGGATGTCTTGGATTTTGTTTAGAGTTTAGATGGTACAAGCTTCCACGGGGTGCTGCACGAGGTGGTAAGCCGTGTGGGAGGTACGATGCAGGATTTCGCAGATCAAATCATGGGCCAGGTTCATGCTACCTAGTAAAGGGGCCTTGATAACTAGAATAGGGTTTTGGGGATCTATTATACTATACTTATAACAGGAGCCCCCATAACCCCATTCTAATTATTAAGGCCCCTACATTAGAGTAACCGAGGTACCTTTAGAAAATGTAAATGTGCCTTTTAAAAGGTACATTGGTTTCTCAAGGTTTCGCTTCTATCCTCTGAAGCATGGCCGACTTTGCATTGCATAGAGTAACGCCAGACAAACTATCGGAACATCGGCAAGTAGAGATGATTTGCAGCTTGCCGGTGTCCAACCCTAAACCCTAAACCCTAAACCGTAGAATCCCACCGTAGTGCAAGGCTTTCACTTTCTCCGGGGCTAGAGGCCTCAGCAACCAAGAACTGCCCATCGGTGTCGCTGGTGTAGGGTTTCGGGTTTAGGGTTTAGAGGTTTAGGGTTTAGGGGTGTAGGGGTTTAGGGTTTCAAGCCTTCAGCCAGGGCTAACTAACCCAACAGAATGCCTATGCTGAACAACGGGGAGTTCTACATAATGTCTTTTACTATCATGACAGCTTTGCAGTTGCATCCCTCTTCGCAGTTCATGTGCCTACATAGGTGCTGAGAATCTTTTGGGCAGGAGACGTCCTTCAGTGTGGATGAGAAGCTTCCAGCCGTTTCTGCCCACCACCCGCGCGGTGCTCAAACCGAGAGGCCATCCGCAGTCCGCAGCAGTTGCAGGTTCCGCCTTGGACTATAGGGGCCTTACCCAGAGCCTCCAATGTAGTTCCTTTTGGGGTTCGTTATGGTTTTTTGGTATGGAATTATAGTATACTAGCCAAAAAGGAACTACAGAGGAGCCCTTGGGTAACAATTACTTATACGATTTGGAGGTTCCTTACTATAAGTATAGCTATAGAGGCCTTAATAACTAGAATAGGGTTTTGGGGCTCAGTCTACCAACGATTATAATGAGGAGCCCCCCCCAAAATAGCATACGTAATTATTTAGGCCCTGGGGTTTTGTTATGAAGTTCGGCTCTTCTGATTTTGAATGTAGGGTTCAGGGCATTTAAGGCTCGGGTAACCCATACTTGACCAGACCTCCAAGCCTCATAATCTAGGGGCCTTACATAGTCAGAATAGGGTTTGGGCGGTTCCTTCTTATAATTTATGATTATAGTATAATAGACCCCAAACCCCGTTTCCAATTACTTAGGCCCCGAAGCCCTAAACCCTTATAGTACCCTTTATAGCAACCCGTTTAGAGGAACCCTTTAAAGGAACCCCCAAGGAGCCCTATCCGAAGTATGAAGGCCCCTAACCCTAAACCTAAACCCTAAACCCTGAATTACCCTAAACCCTAAACCCGAAGCCCCTGTATTCGGGAGTTTGAGCAGCTTGGCAGGCTTGGCTTTGATCGTTTTTTGGTGGGGTTTAAGGCTCCGGAGTTCGGTTCTAGGGTTTAGGGTTTAGGTGGTATAAGATTTTGGGTTTAGGGTTAAAATTACCCTTCAGGGTATGGTTTGCGAATGATGGCACAGTGGTGCCGAAGAAGGAGGGTTCAGGGTGTAGGCTTGGGGCTGTTGGGTTTCGAGATGGGCCCTCCCACAGTGACCTAGTTCATGTGGTTTTCTCCACTTCTGCCAGTCATTCCAGCCTTTCTTGTATCAAGGTAAAGAGCCTCATCATCGAAGCACGATAGACCGCTCAACCCTGCCAGAAGGCCATCGTCATAGTCTAAAAGTTTGACAACAGTAATACAGAAGCCCAAAATAATTACCTGTACAATTTTGGGAGTTCCTTCTTCTAATTATAGTATAATATACCCCCAAAACCACCCTAAACCCTAAATCCTAAACCCTAATTATTGAGGCCCCTACATTACATATCCTGGTTCCTTTTGCACTTCACCTACCGTCCTCCAGGATGACCTCGCTGTGGAAGCCGTGCCGCGCTCCTGCCAGGCTGAAACCGGTTTGGGGTTTAGGGTTTAGGGTTTCGGGTTTGGGGTTTAGGGTTTAGGGTTTAGGGGTTTAGGGGTTTAGGGTTTAGGTCGCATGGGGAGGCTTTCCGATTTCCGTGCAGCTATCTGACTATCCAGGCACTTACATGACAGCTTAGCTACCACAAGGCCCTATGCCAGGATAGGAAGGGCCTCGCGGAAACCTGCAAAGAAGCGACAGACCTTCGTTGGAAGAGTTCAACGCCCGCCAGCCGCAAGCTTGTTCCGAAAGATCTTGGCTCAAGCTGGGGTTTCGAGGTAGCCTAGAGTTGCTTCTTCGGTTGCTTCCGCGACTTCTTCAAAGACCAGCGAGGTCTGCACGATGTTTGACGTCGGCTTCGAGTTTTTCTTGAATCCCCCACCTCCTCCACCCCCTCCGCCCCGGCGCCCATGTCCCCCTCCATACTGGGACCTTTCTGCCGCAGGTCAGTGGACCAACCCGTATGGGCCAGACCCACCGACAAAGGTGGAATATCGTCAGGCGAAGCCAGTGGTAGAAGACGTCGTCCAAAAGGCGGCCAAAGTCTCCATGCCTCCTTCATGGTGCGACACTACCTTGGCGGATGCTCCCAAAGAGGCATCCGAGATGTCGGAGCGTGGCTCTCCCCCTCCAAAGCAAAAGGAGGAGCCAGCTTTCGCAGCTTTGGCCAACCTCCGTGTCTATGGAGAAGTGCCTGCGACACCGGCGTCTTTCACGTTGTCCGAATTCTACGACAGACAGGGGCCGTTGTCCCCTTCTTGGTCCCCCGCACCGGCGCAATTCTGCTACGGTAGAGTGGCATCCTTGTCACCGGCCTCCACGACATGCGATTACGGAACTTTCGATGCTCGGCTCCCCGAGTACAACACCGAAGGCTCCGTCGCGAAGTTTCCACTTGGAACTCCCTGCACTCCCCTCAAAGCTGACGAGTGGCCTGTGCACTCCGACTCCGACTTCCGGTTTGATATCTCACGCGTGGATGACAGTGCTGGCCAAAGTGCTAATATAGGGGCCTAAACAATTACGTACCTATACCATTTTGGAGGTTTCCTATGATCATTATAGTGTAACGGGCCCCAAAACCCTATTCTAATTATTCAGGCCCCTACATTAGTCAGAATTGGCCTCGCCTCGCACAGGACCACTGCCGCAGCCACGTCAGCGAAGATTGCCTGGAGCACTGCTCATCTCAATGGTGCGGACTCTTCAGCAGCTGCTGCTACGTATTTGCCCTGAGTATTTTGGGGGCCCTCTCGTTAAAGCTGATAGTATAAGCGGAAAACGGTACCCTTTCTTTGTGTAGCAACCGGAGATGCTGCGGAACCTAGGTTCCCATCAGCCAGCACCAGAAACCTGCAGCCGCTGCAAGCAGGCCCTGGGTTCCTTCTTTGATTTCCATTGCCCGAAGCTTGGTCAGCCTATTTGGTTTAGGATTTAGGGTTTGGGGTATAGGATCTAAGGTTTAGGGTCTAGGGTGATTTAGGGTTTAGGGTTTGGGGTTTAGGGTTTATTTAGGGCCGTTAGGGTAGTCGTTATGGTTTGGATTTCCTCTCAGGTTCAGGGACCCCCAAAAGAGTCTGGTTCGCCTGTCCCTCCGATATCAGGGACCAAGGAAGTGCTCCCACGCCGTTTGCGTGAGCTGCCTTGAGAAACTGCAGGGCCGGACCTTCCGCTGCGGCTGTGGAGATGAGCCGAAGATGGAGCGCACGCTCTGGATGCTTCTTAGGGGTACTTAGAAATAATTTTTAATTTTTGGCTACTACAAACCCTAAGACTAAGAAGCAGCTAAAATTATAATTTTTACTAGGGGTCTAAGTTCAGTATAGGCTTGGAGTATACAACTCGGTAATGGGTGCATTGGACTTCATCACCGGTGCAGAGCCGGCCGGCGGGCCCGACGGCTACACAACGCTGCAGACGCGGAGCCATGCGCACTCTGTGGCTAACCCTTTGTTGGAGCTTCCTCCGGCTACGACATGGGACCAGGGCATGCGTGCAGACAGAAAGGAGATGCTTGCCCCCACTGCGCAGCCTCTGCCACCGCACGCATTGCCGTCGCTCCTTGGCCATCGGCGTCGCATCTCCCAGGGTGCAGAAGTCTTCAACACGCGTTTGCCCGGAGAAATGCCCTGCAGCCCGATGGCCGGATGACGAGAAAGCACGGGAGTCAAAAAGAGACACTACATAGGAGTGTCTAGCGGCTCATGCGGAGATGCATGCGGAGAGGAATTTCGAGGGGTCAACCCCCTTTGTGCAGCAACAGTCTTAGTCTAAACCCTAAACCCTAAACCCTGCTCCTTGCGAGGCCTTGGTTCCTGCTGCAGCCGGGTTTTTCAGCGCTGACGCAGCGCTGCGAGGCTGAGGGGTTTTAGGTTGGAGGTGTTCAGGTTTCTGGTTTAGGGTTTGGGGTTTGGGGATGGGTGAATTTCGAGAGTAACATTTTAGGATGATGTAGGGTTTCCGGGTTGCGACGGTTTGGGGGGGGTTCAGGGCTATATAAGCTTTATAAGATTCAGGTTCTCACCAAGAATCGGGCGCTTCAGGATTGCATGGGTTTCGATTCATACACCATGCAGGTTTGGGTGGCTTCTTAGCCCATCTTACACAATAAGAGTCGAGGTGTTTCCGAGTGTGTATACATATTATATACCCTAAACCCTAAACCATAAACCATATATGTTTTAGATTCGTGAGTCTTGTTGAATTCATTTAGGAGTTCAGGATTGGTCTTTGTCTTCAGCTCGAGGCTCAGAGGTCCAGAAAGTTTAGGATTTGAAGTTTAGGGTTGATGGGTTCAGGTATTCAGGCCTGGGGGTGCGTAGGGGGGCTTAGGGTTTAGGGTTTATGGCACTCATGACTGAAAACTCAAGCTTTGCTGTTGTTTAAGACAGGGGAAAGGTCCTCAGGTTTTGGGATTGCACAGGTTTTCCAGGTTAAGTTATCTGTCCTACTGGACCTGAAGCGTTCGGGAGTTGGGTGCCTCACTGTTTATGGCTTAGGGGTCACAGCGCTGAATCCCCAAGCCTTATAAACAAGAACCCACTGAGGACTCGATTGGAGGGTCTATTACGCCTTCGAGGGCGTGGGCTACCCGATCTTGGGGCGGTATTGGGGTTTATGCTTTGTCTTTATAGGCGCATAGGGAACGTTGCTGGCGATGATGAAGAAGGATGAAATGACAGCGACGTGTGCAGAACAGCCCTGAACAAAGTTCGCGTGCACCGTGAAGTGAAGCAGGTCAGCGATTCGGGGTTTATAGGGTTTAGGGGTTAGGGATATGGGTAGTTCTCTTAATTAGGGCTCCTTTTTTAGGTCCCCAATATAGTACGGCACCTTAAAAAAGGGCCCTAGCCGGGATCCTAATTTAGAGAACTATCCATATATAGATGGCAAAACACCAATTCCCCATCAGAGCTGCACATTTTTGAGCCCAAAGCCTGAGCCGCATCCTGGAAGCTTCACTCGTGAATCTACCGGCTAACCATGATACTATAGGGGCCTTTATAATTAGAATAGGGTTTTGGGGTAGATGATACTATAAGTTGGACCTTGTTTCAACTAGTTAGTT